TAACACATGAAGTAGAATGGTCTCAAACTAGTAGGTTTGCTGATTATGGTACGTCTGTGTTTAAAAGAAAGATTAGAGAGGCTATTGAAATTAACAGATTAGGAAATACGTTGAATGTGAGGAAAGGTGGTAGAAAGTTGAGTAAGAATTACTTATGCTTAATTGATAGATTGAAAGAGAGAGAGGCTGTTAAACCGACTCAATTTATCTGCTCGGTGATGGTTCTAACTTCACTCACACTCGTCCAACATATTAGAGTAAGCGCATCAACCAAACCAGATGTGCCAGATCACGCAGTCCCAGTCATACTTTTCCTTAGAGGGTTAAACGTTAATGACCCTATAGCGAGAGGTTAGGACAAGTGGTTTCATAATTTGACTTACAGGCTTGCAAACTCATATCTCATCATCTCAACCATACTTGTTTACGGACTTACGCAGTCTCGGTCAGGGTTTTTTCTTGGGTCATTAGGTCTTGAGGTTCAGAACCTGAGATTAGAACTTTGACAACTTTGATTTAGGAATCGTATTGCATATAGACGCTAACACACACACACACATACACATACGCATACACTCGAGCAAAAGTAACAGGACCAGTATGAAAGATAATTAATCAAACCACTCTATATCCATCTAGGTTTTTAATTTTCAATTTTATTTTGGCTCAATTCAGTGTATATATTTGAAGTATGGTAGAGCCGGATAGTGTTCTTGCTTTAGTGTTAACGTGAAACTTTTGCAAGAATGAGTTCCAGCTCTGATCATGCCCATCGAATGATGGACGAAATCTCTGCACGTTTTCACCCGAAACGACTGCTTCAACCTGAACGTTGTATAAAAGCAAAACGGCTGCAGTACAGCGGTGAGATCGACCTACCGATCTCTTCTTCATGCGCTTTCATACGAAATTAAAGTCCCCACAACACCCTAAGCGGGGGGGGGGAATGTCTTTCCAAAAAGATATTCTCATCCTGACTGGGGAGGATTGCAGTTTCGACCTCGCCTAAGTCCTACCCAGCGGGACTCGAACCATGATGTTTTATCGTATAATCTCGACACATTAACCACTACGCCACATTGCTATGGTTCGAGTCCCGAAGAGGTGTTGACAATACCAAGGCAAGGTGGAAATTGCAGTCCTCTCCTATCTGGATGGGAATACCTTTTCGGTAGCAGCACTATGTGAAATCTATTTAAAATGCAGGATTATGAGAAAATACAGCTTCCTATCCTTCATCATCATATTACTGATTTACTTGTGGTCTCGAGAGCATACTTATGAACGAAAGAATAGTTAAGATAACAGATAAATGTGCTTCTTAACAAACTATATACAAGATATGATGGCCAAGATGGTGTGGCCTTTTGTGTGGTCGCAGTCTCCTTGCGTTGTATACAAGTTGTTTGACCTTGTTTTCGCAACTTGGTCATGTTGGTAGGACGACTCAGAGGAAGGCATACAGTTCGGAGACTTGTCTCTTTTGACGAGTTGTAGTGTGGCGCTAAGAATGGTGATACGCACTGACGATGCCGGTGAAAAGTCTGTGAATGTGCCACGTCCACGGTCCGACCTTGAAAATGCTAATGCATACAATGGACGCCGGACTAGGTGCCTTCCTCCAAGTCTTCCCACCAAAATGACCAAGTTGCGAAAACAAGGTCCAAACAGAGCACTTCCGAAAGGGGACCATAAACTGGCCAACAACGACACAACGAAGCGGAGAGCTTTTTCAAAAGAAGGCGTCAGGCCCATTCCGCACTCGAAGATGATGTAGGCTGGCGAGATCGCCAGGACCTGACCCACTTTCTATAACCAAAGCTGATCTACCGATGCTTACAGTCGACATTTTCCACAGCTGAGGCCGTCCTCTCTCTCTCGAATGGGCTATTTGCTTCTGAATTTCAGAGTAAATAGCGTTTAAAGCAATGATAAATCTTGAATGAAAATTGACCTGAGTAGGTCCCACTAAGCCAATGCATTTCTTCAAGCTGCCCTCTCAACAGTTTCTCCCATTCCGACTCGGCTCGACTGCAGTTTAGACCTCAACCGGGTGTCATCTTCACCCAACACGGGAGTCGAAAACGGCTCATAAGGAGCACAGGATACAGCCCTATTTCACACTTTTCCTCGCCCCAGCTGCATTCGTCAGCCGTAAATCTCCTTCTCTGACATAAGACTGTACCAATCTTGGCTGTTCCAGGAGCCTCTCTTCTTCGGTCGCGCAACTTTCCACTTTCTGAGATTCAAATTCGACGCTCCGAGGCTTTCATTCGACAGGTTCCCCAAATGAGGCCTTAGTCGAGACTAGCAGTAATTCCTCACTAAAATCTGCAATGTGCGTTGGGATATACAAGTGATGACTGAGTGTGTTGCTGTATTTCGATGACGCTCTCGAGTCAGAGTTTTGTGTGAAAGTTTCTGATAAAACTGCTCCAAGTCGATGCCACTAGACTTACGTATTGCGTCGAGACCATATGGGATTCTTGATAACCAACCTTAAGAGGATTGGGAGCTGAATTTTCCCACAATGAACAAACTGAGCAAACCACTAAGTTTCTCATCCACCTCAGACGCCGGTTTCTAACTGGCTTCACCATCTCATCAACAACCCCAAAATGAGTCAAATCTGACTATTTCGTGTCTTCTTCACACGTTACCACTCCGAGACAAGCTGAAGTCTTCGATTGCCTCACCGAAAATCCCACTATCACAATGCGATTTGTAAGAGGCGTGTCAGCACATGGCCCCATTTTGGTTTTTCCGTTTTGTGTGAGGTTTGCTCAGTCCATTGTGGGAAAATTCAACTCCCAATCCTCTTAAGGTTGGTTGTCAAGACTCCCATATGGTCTCGAGGCATCGACTTTGAGCATTTTTATCAGAGACTTTCACACAAAACTCTGCCTCGAGAGCGTCATCGAAATCGAGCAACACACTTCGTTCTCATTTGTACATCCTAGCCCACCGTAAACGAATCAGGATAATTGCAGATCGACATTTTGATTAAGGCCTCATCTGGGAAACATGTCGAATGGAAGTCTCGGAGAGTTAAGTTTGAGTCTTGGAAAGTGGACTCAAATGACGAGACAGCCAAAATTGGTACAGTCTCATGTCAGAGGAGGAGAGCTGCGGTAGACGAATGCAGCTGAGGGCAAGGAAGAGTGTGAAATGCGAGGCAGAGCGAAGGGAGTGCCCGCCGCCGCTCTCTGAGAAGCTCAGGCCCTGGAGACAGAGCTGATGTGTCGGCCAAGCACGATCCATAAGTGGCTTCGAGGCAATGGCAACAGATACGAAGACGAGAAGATGATTTTGCGTGGACGGCCTTTATTCTCATCGGATAGAGACAGAGACCTCCAGCCATGACCGATTTATGGTAGACTCGGGGTCGGAGTGAGTCAGACGTGCAGAAGACCCGAGCAAAGGTCAAAGGGCATCGGAGTGAAGGTTGACCAAAAAGGGTTGTTCGGACGACAGTTGTGGGTACCTGGATGTCTGGTAGAGTGGAGCATCTCATGTGGGGTGGAGGTTGAAAAGAAAAATGGCCACAATAAAAATACGTGTGTAGGACCTTCACATGAGGGAGGCATGGAGACTGAAGGCTGAGAGAAGTTTGAGGAGATGGATTTAATTAAGCAAAAAGCTGGAAGAAATTCGTTTCTCACTGAGTTACCTTCATATTATGCTTTTCGACCAGAAGAAAGAAGGAATAGGCCTGGACCCTCGTGTATGTATTATTGTGTCTGTATGAAATGATGGGTGGAGAGAATGAGCAAATCAAAGGTATCTGAAATGAAAGAAGACTGTCTTGTAGTTGTGAATGTCAATTTGGGCCTACACGACACTAACGACCCGTCCTTTGGTCTCATTCTGTCCGAGCATGGTTCTCACATTAACACTGTTAGCGCACACAGTACGAATAATCACAAGACAAAACACACCGTAGCATAGCGGTACCACACCTCAGACGAAATGACAAAGGAGACGGCCACATGAGCAATGAAGTTGGCGTGAGTAGGCCTCGAAAGTATCAGCAAACTTTTGGTAATAGCTAGACTCACTTGTGATGGCTTAAGTTGATGAGGACAGTAGGTGTGGAATTTCCCACAAGAAAGCGAATAAAATGCCTCCACACGCTATTGAACTTCGCATAAACTTGTCATGCAAACTGGTTTACAGGTTCAACCTCGCCTGAGACTGATTAGCGTACAGAACAGAAATCGAAGCCGAGTTGTGGGTGGCAAGTGGGAAAAGGTTACCACTGCGACACACAGCCTTGGATGTCATTTGGTGACAGAATGTATGTGACATTTTGATTCCCTCAAAAGCAGTGCATGCATACAAAACAAGAATACGAACACAAAGGAGAGCAAGGTAACACAGTCGTGTAAAAGTGTTTCGAAACGATAAGTACCGTATTTCCCCATGTATAAGCACCCCCTTTGTATAAGCCACGCCCCAATTTTTTGACTGTGAAGTTT